GTGCGCCGAGAGCGAGCGCCTTCCCTCCCTCCTTCCCTCGCTCCCTCCTCAAGTGCCCGCGCAGAAGCGGCTCCACATCCCTCTCTCGCCCCGGGTCGGAGGAGGCCGTCGAGGACGGGACCCTCCCGGATGCGGTGGGGAGAGCAGCAGCTCCTTCCCGGCGGCGGGGGGGAAATGCTGCCATTGTTCGCAGATGAATAAAAAAGCCGCCGAGCGGTAGCAGTTTCTCGGCCGCTCTTTGCGGGGGAGGCAGAACTAGTACAGCTTTATTCTGCGGCGCTGGAGAAATTGCCTTCCTTTTTTTATGTTGTTTTTTTTTTTTTATTCGTTATTCTCTCCTAGTCGTTAAAAAAGTCGCGCAGGTCTTCTTTAGAGGGCGAGCTCCTATTTTGGTGAGGAAGTGTGGATGAAATAAACAGAACTTCCCTGGATTACAAGTAGTCCACTTTTCTAGTTCTTTTTTTACCCCTCATCTTTCCCAAAAAGCCGTGTGCCTACTTTCCTGCCGAAACCTGATGTTCATATCCGTTTTGCGTGCCATCTGTCCTGTTTGTGACTCCTGCACTTCTCCAGGTTGCGTTGCCCCAGATTGCGTTGTTCCTGCCCTAGAACATAAATAACCAAGAACAACTGCACTTTCACACATTTACTGGGTTTACTGAGTGATGCCCAGTTGTATGCCTGCCTGCCCTACAGAGAACTGGGAAATAGATAATAGGTTATGGAAGTTACAGTTAATTTGGATAGCAACTTATAACTATCTCAGGAAACTAATTCTTTAGATATTTATTGTTAAAGTAATTAAGAAGATTAGTAATCTCATAAAGGTATACTATAAAAGAATGCCATACCAGAGAGCAGGTGATGGAGAGGACCGATTTGCTCTTAGTTTGTCTACATGTGAAGGCTTCCCCCTCACAGTTGGAGACCCGTTATATGAATTTAAATCGGGGTGAACCCTAGCACAAATACTATTTAGCATAAGAGTACATCTCTTCAGTTTCTTTAATAACTTGGTTTTGTTTTAATCAGTTCCAGGTAAAACCCTGATAACAAAACAAGTTTTTCAGAAAAAACTAATTTGAATCCAGTAGTGTTTGTGTAAATTTACGTGTGCAGAAGCCCTCAGAGTAGAATAGTTCTGTACTGTAAGTATAGTGCAGACAGATACTGCCAGAACAAAAGTGATGGGGATCATCTGTTTCACTCACACGGTCCTGGTCTATTCAGGTTATGGTTAATATCGATATTCCCTATAGCCATGGTGCAAGGAAGGATGATGGTACAGATGAAGAGTCTTGTGATAATTTGGTTTAGCTTATTCCAGCAGTCAGGAGACCCTTTTGCTCTTTTCACTGTATTTGCCCCAGTTGCTGTCCTGCTGGGGCTGTGTTTCTGCAGTTTGCTTCCTCAGTTGGTGAACCTTGCAAAATATAGGGCAGAAAAGTGAGAAGAGGCTAGTGCCCCTTTTACCTCAGCTTGGCTTTCTTTTTTGTGGGTGGTTTGTTGTGGGTTTGTTTTTTTTTTTTCCAAAATTTTGCTCTTTGTTCTTTTCCAAGTTTCATTTTTGTGACTCTCATGTTGTCTCAGGATCTGATCAATTGAACTATATTACTTTAAAATGGAAAATTTTACTGGGAGAGATTGATACCTCTGCACTTTTCCATTTCCTTCTGTCAAGTATGAAAGAACGCTAGTTGTTTCTGTCTACAATATTACTTACTACCTCTAATTCTATTATCATTGTGATGTGTCCTCTAGAAGCTTCTATTCGTGAATTACTGTTTCTGATTTGAAGCTGACAGCTTAAATTGATAAGATGGGACATGGTTCTGCATATCTGTGGATGGTTAAAGATGACAGTTGAGAAAATGCTGTAGGGAGAAAGTGATTTGCATTATTAATTTGTTTATGTAGCGGACATTTTACGGAACACCATATTTATGAGGAAAAATTGCTTTATGTGTAAAGCAATAAGCTATTGTTTTTGGATTGTGTTGCGCTATATTAATTTGACTTACCAATATTAGTTCGAGTTGGACTATATGAACCCTTTCCTCTAGTTTTGCCAGTAGCAGGAACTGAAAAATATACTGTGTAGCTTTGTTGTTCTTCTGGGTACAGTATAACTGTATTTATACCCAAGCTGGGACAAAACTTTTGTTTGCATCTGTAGTAAATGGGTCATTTAGGACTTGTGGCTGGATGAGCTTCCCTTTGTTGTTTTGTTGTGTTCTGGACGTCAAGGTACTCATTATTCAGGCTCTTCTGGGATTTTTTTTTTTTTATGCCTTTTTCCAGAAGGGTGGGAGGGATGTTCTGCTTGATTAGTGCTAAATGAACCACAGGTTATAAGGGTGAAATAAAGACCGCAGAGCCATGGGTTTACAAGCTGGCTAAGATGGGTGAAAACTGAGAACCGTCTTGGGTTGTATTAAGTGTTGGTTGCAATGAGCTGGCTAACTTGAAGTCAGATCTTTTTAGTGAAAATGCATCTTTCCCATTCCATCTGGAGTTCATCAAAACTTTGTCTGTGTGTTGCCTCTTACCCTTTCGTTAACTTATTGTTCATCATAATCGTATTCTTTGTCCTTGGGCTTACAGCTTTACTCAATTTGGCTCCCACCAGTTGTATTTATTTTTTTTAAATTTTTTGCTTTTGGCTCCCACCAGTTGTATTTATTTTTTTAAAATTTTTTGCTTTTTTTTTTGAGAAGTTGGTTGAGTCATTTTCCATTTTGTTCTTCTAAGCTGGCTTCCCCATCCAGCAGTCTTTCGTATTTATTTAAAATCTCATTTTGAGATGAGAGTCTCATAAATGTAATACTTCCTGCATACATTGCTTGTGACCTGTAAGAAATAGGTATTGCATGGCATATTTTACTTTGACCATCTCCCTACACGTTATGCATCTTGCTCTTCAAGAGAAAGAGATCGGTGCTGCACCCGAGAACTGCATTATCGGCATACAAGTGGCTGAGGCTGGCATTCTCTTGATGGCAGAAGACCGCAGTAAGATTAGGGGTGCTTTAGCAAATATCATGGTGTGTTTTTGTACACAAAAACCTGGAGTATCAGTGCATGATACTGAGATAATGAGGAGCCGGTGCATGAGGCCAGCTTGGGTCTGACTCAAGGTTGCCTGCAACTTTGGCCAGCAAACTGGGTTACTTTCCTGCAGTCATGAAGATGTGACCATGCATTGTCAAGTTTTCTGATGCTCTGATCAGCTTTGCATTTCCCAAGTTTTTTTTTTTCACGTATACACATGCATATAATTAAACAGTAAAAAACTGTTTTTATTATACATACTGTACATAGGTATACATGTAAAAATCCTGACCAAGCAGAGGATACAAAACAATTTAAGGATCTCTTATTTTAATGCTGTGGAAAGAGCACTTGCTTTGTTTATACTCTAATGAGTATACTTGCGTAGTTGCATTGTGGATACGTCTAAACATGCCTGTAGTGTTCTAATTTGATATTTAAATGCTAACAAATTAGAAATGAAAGAGTTTTGACTTTGTATTTTGTAACTGGATAATAAGAGTGCTTTAGATGGAGTAAGCAGCTAAGAGGCTAATTATCTGGAAACCTCTGTGGCTACAGATTCTTAGGAACGTGTTAGTTACTCTCTTGACTCCTTGTCTGTAACACAGAGAGAAAAATACTTTTTTTGTGTAACGAATAATAAAAGCTAGCATTTAATGGCCACATAAAACAGGTTATTAAAAACAGCCTTTACATTGGGAAAGGCAGTTGTCTCGTTATGGGAGGGGATGGACACATTGTGGTATAATAAATTTCTACTCAGAAGGGCAGAGCTGTCCTGGTCATAAAAAAACATAAGCTGGCAGACTTGCATTTATTATAAAATGTATGCGCAATACTTATTGGGTATGTATTTCATCAGTTCTGTTGATCTGCTGAAAGGGGCCTGGGGAAGAGATAACCTTTGTATATTAGCAAATATCAAACTACAAAGCAAACTTGAGACCATCTCATCTGGTGCCTCTTAGCTTTGTTCTAATGCAAACAGCAATACTACCTACGTTTAATTTATACTTTTGACTACTTGTGGATTTTTAGTTACTCTATTTGACAAGGGATTAGATTCCTTAAATTTTAGTGGTGTGCCAGTTGTAGAGCCGAGAGCGGTTGGGCCTGTAGTGTAAACGTGAATCTTATGGTCTAACAAACTTGTCCACCATGGTGGATGTTTCTGCCACAGGCAGTGTGCTATTTTAGAAACATCAAAGGCCTGCTGTTTTGTTAAGGTTCCTGTCTGTGTTCAGGCAGCTAATCGAAACCAGAAAGATTTTTGCTTATCTCTTTAACTTGTTATTCTTCAGGACCTACAAACTTTTTTTAAAGTGAGGATGCTAATGTGTATTTACAGTTTTTGACCACATATACTGTAACTTGAATGAAAAAGTGAGAAGGGAGAAGCTGGATAATCTGCTTTTTCTGAATTGAACATTTTTTTTCAGAAACAATAGCAAATTTTTAAATGAAATTTTTATTTACATCACCAAGGTTTTTTTAATGTCTCTTTGGAGGTGTAATTTAGCGTTTAACTCTTAAATTGAACAGACTTGAGTGGAAAAAGCAAGTCTAAGAGACGTATGTACATTTTAAAGAAATTTTATGGGGGGAAAAAAAAGCCAGTTTCCAAAACAGCATTTGTAAAGTGAGTGACCAGTTCTTCTCTGCAACTCAGAGGAGCATGGCTGCTAAGTTCCAAAAAGAAAAAACACTTTTAATTTGTCCTTTCTGGACATGACCGTGATGTTCCATGTGTTTATGGCTTTCGTATTTGAATGTTGCAAAACACTGCAAACGGTAATTAAAATACAAAATGTTGAGGAAGGGCTGAGTAACTGGAAGTGTATCAGCTAGTCTGGCATGAATCTTTGAGAGCATATCTTTTCAGTGCCCTTTTAATTCACCCAGTCCCACTTAATAGCACAGAATGTGGAATTTCAGTCCTGATTTTCCAGAGCAAATGATCTAGTGTTTCAGACTGTGGTCTAGTTAAGACATGGGCTTTGGAAACGCATTGCTACTGAGTCAGTTGTAGAGGGGGCCAGAATAACGATGCTGACTTTGTTTCTTAGCATTTTTATCTGTAAGATTGTGAATGACTATAATTGAGCAGAAATAATTTCTTTGTGCTTGATGGTCTTCTCTTAACTAAGGAAGTCGGAAGAGGTCAAAAACAATTCCTGGTACGGGCAGAGCATTTGTTGAAATAGCTAAGACTAGAGAAGTAACACTTCCTGTATTCTTTTTCTTACTCTTCTGCATCTAGGAAAGAAGGGTGCGTTTAGGTAAGTTTCCATGGTACATGTATTGAAGGAGGAAGAGTTGTTGAATCTTGTGCAACAGCCATCGAGACACCTCTCTTCAGTCTACACTTGCAGTTGCTGACTCAGATCATTCTTAATCATTGAACCACACACCTTGTTGACAGACTGGTGACTGAATGAATTCCATGCTGGCTGCAAAACCAGCGTGATGTAAGAAGAGATTATGGTGAACAACATCAGGTTTTCTGTTATGTCTTTATTGATTTAAATTAAGGCACTGATGCTATCAGACACTTTGCCCCCCCCCCCAAATTACATGCAGACTGTGCTGCCCTGATAATTCTCTCCCTCCTTTCATGGTGACCTGAAAGCCTATGTGATAGAAACTTGATCTATTTCAGAGGAGTTTCTTGCCACTAGGGAAGTGCAGCAGAGCTGTGGACTGCTGCCTACACTGGTATTTTGGCAATGCTGACCCCAGCCTTCTCAGAGAGGTAGGTTAGTGTACATCTGCTGTAAGACTGGTGGCTGCCCGTTTGGATCTGTCTACCAAGACTAAATTCTACTTCCCTGAAGTCATCGCCCATACACACAGATGACTAGAATTACTGCACGTTTAGCGGAGGATTTCCTTAATTGCCTTGTGACATCATCCTTAATCTTGCTGTAAGATGTCATGTTTAGGCCTGTCCCAGGCAGTTCTTTGAACCTACTTTCATTAGTAATGATGATAGGAGGAATCAAACTGAGACAGAGAGCTAGACAGACTAGGTGAAAATATGAAGCCCATACTTAATGATTATAAACTTACCTTAAGAGAGATAAATTTTCTGTTGAAGTTTTGGGTGTATTGGGACAGTGCAGTTTACTGAGGATCAAATGACAATGCCAAAACTTAGCTTACCTGTTTTTTTTGTTTGTTGTTTGGAGGGGGTGGGGGTGTGGTTTTTGTTTGCTGTTTTTGGTTGGGGTTTTTTTTTAGTGATACTCTCTCTGTATGAGTAGCAGTTGATAATATTTCCTTATTTTCAAGACAGCTGATCATCTGATGATGGTTGTGGATACATTGGGTTTTCAACCAAGGTTGCTAGCTTTGCAGCCTGTTGAAGTTTTGGGTGTATTGGGACAGTGCAGTTTACTGAGGATCAAATGACAATGCCAAAACTTAGCTTACCTGTTTTTGTTGTTTGTTGTTTGGAGGGGGTGGGGGTGTGGTTTTTGTTTGCTGTTGGGGTTTTTTTTTAGTGATACTCTCTCTGTATGAGTAGCAGTTGACAATATTGATGATGGTTGTGGATACATTGGGTTTTCAACCAAGGTTGCTAGCTTTGCAGCCTGTTTTCTGTGGAATCCAACTTGATTCTAGTTGCCATATTTGGTACCTTGTACTATTCTATCTAGTGTATTCTATCTATATCTATTCTAATATTCTATCTATACCTATCTAGTCTATGCTTGTGTGGGGTTTTAGATACAAATTCACAAGATAGTGGATGCTGAAATATCTCTTGATATCAAAACCTGGTGAGGCGATTTCTGTTCTGGATCAGGGTGGAAGAACCCAGGAACCTTCTGCAGGCTTTTGAAGTCCAAATTTTGCATGTGGCAAAGCAACCTGTGAAAGTCAATATAAAAGCTGAAGGTTAACATTAAACACTGTTAGGCTCTCCTAAGCTTTGTCAGACCACTGTTGTTCACTGAGAAGTTACTGCCTTCCTGTCAGTAGACATTTAGATGGTGCCTCTCTCACACGCAGGTTGGGCTGTTCGATCATAAGTGATTGCTAGGATAGTAAAAAAGGATAGCAGCGTTCCATTGTGGAATTGATCATCATTGAATATGATGAGTGACGGTACATAAGATGAAAAATGGCAAGTATCAAAAGAAGTCTTTGTTTTAAAAATAGTTCTTTGATGCAAATATACAACACCCAGCTTCATTCATATTTGGAATTAAGCGATCCCACTGATTAAGGTTACACTGTGTATTAAAAAAAGTTTTTGCATGTTTTTGTGAAGGAGATTATTATCATTTACAGTCAACATGTTTTGCCCTTCTATTAATTGTCTGTCTTCGGTGATGACAGTACAGCTGTCTTTATAATAAATAAAGTAATATGGCTTGGTAGTAGCACATCAGCAGATTGAGGCAGTTGGTGCTCAGGCCCCCCTGTCTACCTAACACACTGTTTGCATAATCTACTTCAGGCTAAATTTAGTCTGGCCTTTTGGACCAAATATTCCTACCACACTTATGAGTCTAAGCTGTCTGAAGGACCACTGATTGATCTTGACCCGTCTGTTCCCATTTAGCAGGCAGGATGCAGTTGTTGAGCACACATGAAGCAGAGCTTCTGGAAAGAAACTCTCATTTCCATTCCCTCTGAAAGGAATCTAGTTCACTTGGCCAGAGTTGTGCTGTAACCTGTACCAACCCAAGGGAGAAGGAAGTGATTCAGTCCAAAACCCCACGATGCTTTTCTGAACCAAAATGTTCCAGAGGCAGCCGTGATGCTGTAGAATAGTCCCTCTGTAGCCCATGAATAAATAAATGTTTAATAAACACAAACCCTTGGGTTTATTAAATTTAATGACACAAAATAGAATTCTTTCCCTGTCTGGCCCCTCTGTGAATGAGGAGGTAAAAATCAAGTTAGGAATGTAGTAGAAATCTGAAAGGTAGAATGTTGTGTTTGACAGTAGGGCTTCTTTAGAAGCTGGGTCTGTTCACTCTACCAAATGTTTTGATGGAAAAAAGATTTGCTTGAGGGTGGATGTTAGCCTCTCATTTTGCACGTTGCTCGTGCTTGCTAATGTCTATAATTCTGGGAGTAGGGCTTGTGGGTTTTTGGATTTCTGTTTATATTACAAGGGCAAAAGTATTGCAATGCAAAACAGTGGCCAAAAATACTTTTTGTTGACCCCCCCCGTCAGTTTAGAATATAACAGAAGTCATAAGAATTTTATATACTTTAATGTGGATGAAACTGGGGATTAGCTTTTCAGCAGGGATGTTGTGTAGGTGTTGGATCAGACTTACCATGTCTGTGGAACGTGGCAGTTATCACAGCATTTTTTTTTCAAGTAAATTTTAAGAGTGTTTAATGTTAAATATAATCAAGGTGTCTTTTGTATTTTAGGAAGCTGAATATGGTGGACATGATCAGATTGATTTATATGATGATGTAATTTCTCCATCTGCAAATAATGGAGATGCCCCAGAAGATCGTGATTACATGGATTCTCTCCCACCATCTGTTGGGGATGATGTAGGTAAAGGAGCTGCACCAAATGTTGTCTATACATATACTGGAAAGAGAATTGCCTTGTACATTGGAAATCTTACTTGGGTAAGTATCTTACTACTATTTACGTGTAGCCAGGAATTTTAAAATTATGAACATAATTCTTTGCAAATATTTTTGGTTTAAAAATTGTTTTATATGAAATATTAAGAGTACAGCAAAGCATGTGGGTTTTTGTTGTTTTTTTTCTTTTACCTGAAATTTAGTGAGCCTGTCTGGAGCTGTCTTGATGTCTAAAAACTCGAGGAAATCTTCAGTAAATATAAACTTTTTAAAGTTTCCTCTCATGTTTTAAGCGTTATGAAGGGATATTTGTGCTGCTATCTTCTTAAGGTTTTCAGAGAACTGAATGAAAGAGGAGAACAAGCTTAAACTCTGAAATACTTTATGCCTGCAGATACTTAAAGGCTACTGAACAAATGCATTTTTTAGTAAACTCTTGCTGAAGTTTTTAGTTTAAAAAGGAGCTGGGAGGTTCTCTGGGATTTTCTTGAAATTACTTTTCACATTTTTCCAGGGCCTTTTTCCACTTCCTTTTTTGCAGGGCAGTGACTCTTACAACAAAACTGTTTTCAGGTATTTGCCTTGAGGCTTATTTCTGCGGTCCTAGGAGTAACAGGTTTGGGATAACTCACTGAACTGCAGTTGCCCTTAAGACAGTTACTTTTGTTAGCATTAAAGCATTTTAAAATCAATTGCAGTTAAGCAAAGTGCAAGAGCTGGGCAGTAGCTGAATTAACTGGAGATTTTGTCTGTTTACCTGAAATCCAGTTCTTCCAGGTCCACACATGCAAAATTCTCATTCAAGGCTTTTTCCCTTCTGATTAATTTCTTAGTAGTGCTAAACTTGAAAAAGAATGCTTTATGGGTGCTCAGGTGTTTTCTCATTAATTATTACAGTATCCTAATTTTGGGAGCTAATAGGTAAGTAAAGGAGCTGTTGACTTAACAGTTGTACCATTCTAAAATATATGAATGGAATCCATAAAATGCATATGAATTAGCTGAACTCCAAGTAAAATGTCACAATTTCCAAAGCAGGTAGGCCAATGTTCAGCAATTGTACCTATTACTCATTATTTGGCTTCACAAATAAAATTATCCACAAAAAATGAATTTATCTACTTTAGTATTGCTATTGTGTTTGTTGTCTTTGTGTTTAGCTCTCAGCAAAGTAATTTCTTGAATTTTTAAAAGAAGCCTTGATTGAGGAAGATCAGATAAGTAGTTCAGAATCTTGAAAGCCTTCTTTGCACTTCCCATATGAAATTTAAAGAAGTGATGAAGTTACAGAAGTAGGAAGAAAACCATAAGTATTGGTGTATTTGTGAATCTTTGGATATGAGTGAAATTGTTAAACATTACATAGTAATTAATAGGAAGTTGCAGCCAAGTAGGTTTGGTTAAGTGGAAGCAGATGTTTCTAGCCATAGTTTCTGTACTAGTTTCCCTTATTTTTTCTGTAAATCCTGCTTGTTTTTGTGCAAATAATATGTAGTTCACTAAACTCTCACTAGTCAAAGCTCTCAGAGCACCTGGTTAATAGAGTGTTTAAAATTGACTTTTGTGTGAAAATACTAGAATCAGTGGGAGAAAAAATGGATTGCGTGTAGAAAAAGTAACAGTTATTGAAATAGTCCAGTTTAAGCTTTGTAGTCTCAGGAGACAAAAGTTACTCAAATACAAATTTTTTTGGCATACTGTAACTGGTATACTGTGTGGAGGGGTTGATGCAATGTAGTATATAGGGAAGTGTGTATATTTTTAAAATTAATTTTCTGAGAATTATAAAATACAAATGACTGCTCTCCAAAAGTCAGAAAATATTGACAGCCTGAATAAAGTATTCCTCTTGACCAATTGAAGCATGAAAGCCTTCTTTGCACTTCCCATATGAAATTTAAAGAAGTGATGAAGTTACAGAAGTAGGAAGAAAACCATAAGTATTGGTGTATTTGTGAATCTTTGGATATGAGAGAAATTGTTAAACATTACATAGTAATTAATAGGAAGTTGCAGCCAAGTAGGTTTGGTTAAGTGGAAGCAGATGTTTCTAGCCATAGTTTCTGTACTAGTTTCCCTTATTTTTTCTGTAAATCCTGCTTGTTTTTGTGCAAATAATATGTAGTTCACTAAACTCTCACTAGTCAAAGCTCTCAGAGCACCTGGTTAATAGAGTGTTTAAAATTGACTTTTGTGTGAAAATACTAGAATCAGTGGGAGAAAAAATGGATTAGGTGTAGAAAAAGTAACAGTTATTGAAATAGTCCAGTTTAAGCTTTGTAGTCTCAGGAGACAAAAGTTACTCAAATACAAATTTTTTTGGCATACTGTAACTGGTATACTGTGTGGAGGGGTTGATGCAATGTAGTATATAGGGAAGTGTGTATATTTTTAAAATTAATTTTCTGAGAATTATAAAATACAAATGACTGCTCTCCAAAAGTCAGAAAATATTGACAGCCTGAATAAAGTATTCCTCTTGACCAATTTCACACACACAAAAAAAACCATGGAAAACTTAGTTGCCCTTTTCCTGGTGTTTTAGATAAGCTTTCATAGTTGAATATTAAAAATATTTTTCAGTGGACAACAGATGAAGACTTAACTGAAGCAGTTCATTCACTGGGGGTAAATGATATTTTGGAGATAAAATTTTTTGAAAATCGTGCTAATGGCCAGTCTAAAGGGTAAGAATTTGGCATTTGTTTTTTCTGTAAATGGATTGAAGTTTGGGAGGGTGGAAATGGAGAAAGAGTTCTCAATTTTCATAACTGTCAGTATGTGAACGGATAATTTTTGTTTATTGATATCCAGCGATGATTGGATGTATCATTTCATACTAATGACCTGAATTTCAGGCATAAATTTTTTGACGGTATTGTGTGTCTCATTATTTTGTGAGTTAAATCTTGTTGGCCATCTTCATTAAGACTATTCCTAGATTTCAGTTAGTGTGGTGATGATCCTTGTTGTTCCTCATAGTGTAAATACTGTTCCCCAACCTCCATTATTAAATCTTTCTTTACATCTTTATTTTCCATTAACTGTTGAGAGTGAGTGCTTGAGACCATTTTTCACTGGCAACCTAATCTTCCTTCTGTGAATGTGCCTTTCTCTCTCCTTAGTAGTAATGACAACACAGTGAATGCTTAATAATAACGTGGTCATATGAATTCATAGATAGTGTATTGATACTCTACCAAAAAGCTGCCTTTGTTGTGGTATATTTTGATGCATCTTGTACTTGCACTCTTGGTTCTTCTTCTGTGTCCTGGAATGAGTTATTTTATCTGGAATATTTTACCTGAAAACTGGACTAAGACCTGTGAAACAGTCTCTGTATCTATTTTTCAAGTATTCTTTTGCTTACTGTGTAACCTTTTTCATGAGGCATCAGGATATCCAGGAAATGGAAAAAACTGTGGTGTAACTTCTTCTGCTTCCTTTCAGGTTTGCCCTTGTGGGTGTGGGATCGGAAGCATCCTCCAAAAAGTTGATGGACTTGTTGCCTAAAAGAGAATTGCATGGGCAGAATCCTGTTGTAACTCCATGCAATAAACAATTTCTGAGTCAGTTTGAAATGCAGTCAAGGAAAAGTAAGCCTTTCTTACGTGCTGTCTTGGAAAAACAGAAGTTTATTCCAAAAGTAGTATGGCAGTTTTTCTCTCAGCATCTGATAACTTCTACACAGTTTAAAATAGCTATGAAATACTTACAGTCCAGGTGGATGAAGTTGCATCTCTGTTTAAAGATGTTTCTCTTAAATAAAAATAAAAAAATCACTGAATACACTGAAGAGCTGCTGTTTTGGCAGCACTCACTGGAAGAAGGTTGCAGCTTTGTGAAAATCTTGTCTTACAGCTGGAGAAGCTTTCTCAATTTCTTGTGGATGTAATTTTGGAAAAAAGCACAAGAGCATTTAGAAATTTAACATTTGTAGACAAACTGGACTAAATTCTGATGTCTGGACAGGCTGCGCTTATGACAAAATGGGGAAGAGAGATTCTGTGTTGTGCTTCCCTCCAGCACCTTGTCTTGTGGTTCCCAGTCCTAATAGTTTGTGGCCTTGGGCTGCATTAAAGGAAGGACTGACAGCCTCCCCAGATGCTATTCTTTTAGTATGGGGCATACTGGAACGCTGCCGTATTTTAGCAAAGCACTTTTTCCTCCTCAGATGGTTTGGGTACCAAGGAACAAGTTGGTGCTCATAAGGTCATGCTTTAGCGCTGCATAAAACTTTAGATCAAGTGTTGAAAAGCTTTAACCTATTTTGATTTATGTAATTACACTTTTGCTTTTCCATTGCAGCCACACAGTCTGGCCAGATGTCTGGGGAAGGTAAAGCTGGTCCCCCAGGAGGAAGCTCACGAGCAGCGTTTCCACCTAGTAATAGAGGGCGAGGCCGTTTTCCAGGTGCCATTCCAGGTGGAGACAGATTCCCTGGACCGGCAGGGCCAGGAGGGCCACCACCACCTTTCCCAGGTAAAACAATTCATGTGTGGAGTTTCAGTTTCATTTGTGTTTTCTTGTATTAATGCGGCATACTTATTTGGGAAATTATAAAGATCAAGGCAATTCAGTAATGTGCTGTAATCAGTATTCACAGCTGGATTGTAGGATTCGACAATATTTCTTTGTTGATGTTCAAACAGGGAGTTGTACTTCCTAAATTTGATAGCAATTTAATAACATTTTTTAGAGACATTCTTTATAATGTGTCAATGTACATATTTTTAGAGTATGAAGAAATTAAGATAGATTGTGTTAGCAAGTAGACTTGTCTTTAGTGCAGTGTAATTCAGATTTTCTGATTTGCTATATGGGGTGAGAATGCCTGTGTTGCAGGGTGTAAAGTAACTTTTCCTTACTGCATTACAAGTTTGCCCATCATCAGAAATTCAGCTTTGATTCATGCCCACTGACAGGTCAGTTAGTTGGCACTTAGAATACCACGGATTTGAGGGGAAGGTGTTCATGTTTAGTCAGGTATCTGATATGGGAGAAATCTGTTGGACAATCAGGCTTGCATTGCAGTGAAGTTCTTATTTCTGCTTAAGTATTTTTAATAAATGTCATTCAGTAGTAGATTGTCTACTAACAGTCAAAGGGACATGGTCAAATTGAAAAACCACTAATGAGGACCTGAAAGTAGGTTTGGATACTGCATTTACCTTACCTTCTCCAATATAGCTTTTCCTATATTTTTAATATATATGGTATCTTATGCCCCATATGAAAGACTAGCTGCAGGTGTAAGTAGGATGCAATGTTTTCAAGTTTTTGTAAGCTTTTAGGGTTTTGGTAACCAATAGCAGATGATTAAGTGTGGGGGGGGGGGGAGCGAGTTGTCAGTTTTCAAGTTAATGTTGTTCTCTTTAGATATTGATAGTCAAGCAACTGTTAAAAATTTTCTAAGCTACTGGACCCAAAGTGGGACCATGCATGTCTTGTGTAAGTTGCAAATTGTTCAGTGAGGGTTGTTTTTGTTTTTTTGTTGTTTTTAAGAAAAAAAAAAAGGCAAGAATTTTAATTATTTCACTAAGCCTTTTATTTCTTTATATTTATTAACTTTTTTAATTTTTTTTATTTTAGCTGGACAAACTCCCCCACGTCCACCTTTAGGTCCTCCTGGCCCGCCAGGCCCACCAGGCCCTCCACCTCCTGGTCAGGTCCTCCCACCTCCATTAGCTGGACCTCCTAATCGTGGTGACCGTCCACCACCACCAGTTCTGTTTCCAGGACAGCCTTTTGGTCAGCCTCCACTTGGGCCGCTTCCTCCAGGCCCTCCACCACCAGTTCCAGGCTATGGGCCACCACCAGGTCCGCCACCACCTCAGCAGGGTCCACCTCCACCTCCGGGTCCATTTCCCCCTCGTCCGCCTGGCCCTCTTGGGCCACCCCTGACTCTTGCTCCTCCTCCACATCTCCCTGGGCCACCTCCAGGTGCTCCACCACCTGCACCACATGTGAATCCAGCTTTCTTCCCCCCACCTGCCAACAGTGGCATACCTACATCAGACAGCCGTGGCCCACCTCCGACAGATCCATATGGCCGACCTCCACCATATGACAGAGGTGACTATGGGCCACCTGGAAGGTGAGTGCTTTTGGTGTAATGTGCTTGGTAGTAGATTTTACTTCCCTTGTAGGAAGCATTTGATTTTCCATTTTAATGCAAATGTTAGAAATAATGAAAAATAGGGCTGGAAGGGATCCCAACAGTCTTCTAATTTGCCCCTTTTCACTTCTCTCAGTGAAATATCTCGCAGAAACATGTTTGTAGCAGTAAGAAAAACCTGAATTGCAACCCCAGTAGTCTCACTTTCCCTTTTCAGCTCTGAACTGTTTGTCTTCACTGTTTGTATTTGGCAGTGTCATCATTCCATGTGTTCTACATGTAAACTTATATATCACTTCTTATGCAGCAGCTTCTGGTTGTGCTTCTGTCTTAACTTGAAATTCTGACTTCTACCTTTATCATTGTGCTTTGCAAGTTGTCTGTTTAGAATGCTCTGGAGTTCTCCTTTTTGAATATGTGCATACATTGAGTACAGTGCCATACCAAGCTCATACCACTTTCATCTTTCAGCAGCTCTGCTTGTCCCTTTTTTTCTTCAGGATTCAATTCAAAGTTAGTCTTTATCACAAAAGCCAGGCATGAATTTACTGCAAGACTTTTACCTTCCTTTCCTGTCAGGATGCTTCTGCTCATTTGGTGCAGTCTTGCTGTGTTTGTAGCAGTGGCTTTTCCTATGGTTAATCCTATCTTAGACAGAGTTCTTGAGTCTCTGACTTGACTTGTCAAGTTTTTCACATCTTGTTTGAAACATCTTTTTCATCTGTTGCTTTCAAGCATCTCTGTGCTGCTGCTGTTGCTTGATTTTCACCATATTTGTATTTGTCACAGAAAATTTTGGGATAAATTGTAAGAAAGACACTTTTTACATAGTTACATTTGGATTTTTCGGTTGTGATTTTACTGCTAGCATGAGAGACACTTGTCTTGCTCAAAATGTTTTCTGCAGACACTTTGCTTTGATTCTTCTTCTATCACGAAGTTTAAAAAACCCCAGGCATCTGTACATACTATGTTCATACAGAAACTATAGAAATTCAAGCATTTGGCTTAATTGCCTGAAATATAATAAAACGATAAGGTGTTGGTTGTTTTTTTGATGGACAAAATCGAGGTTGCCTGCAGTTTATAGAATGTCTGGGGAGGGAAGGAGTGGGAATAGGACAGTATAACTTACTGTCCAGTATTTTCATTAACAATGTTAAAACTATCATCCATAACTATTTAAATTGTCATTAATTATATATCATAGGCGTTTCACTGGAAATAACATGTCCATAAGAGAAAAATTACATATTCCATTCTATGGGAGGCACACGAAAAATAATACTCAAAACTCAGGGAGGTATGAATTTTTAGACATTTCCTCTTATGCTAAACTGGCTATAGGATCTTGTTCCACTTCTTGCAATTAAGAGGATAGCATTGCTTATTATTCTGCATTTTCTTTCTACCAGAAGAACTAACACTGTTCTAGAAATATCAAGCAGTGGGCCAGTTTAACAGTCTCAACATTTGTCTCTAACACATTTCTCCAAATTCTCTGTGTGATATAGAGACTGGCTAATAGGACACTGCAAAACTTTGGGGCAAATTTTTGTATAGGTTAACTTCTGTTACTTTGGAAACCCTATATAGGTAGCTAATAATTAAAGTAAAAAAGTGTAATAAGTACGAGGATTCTGCTTTATTGCTTCCTCCTTACTGTGACTGGTTTGGAGATCAAATTGGAGCACGTTGAACTTGACCAGAAATAAAAAACCAAAATTAGCTGTAAAATGTTGAAGTATCATTCAGAAAATTGAGTGTTTCAAAGATGATAGACTATATTTGCTTTTCGTAAGTTATAGAATTCTGGTCTTAGTTTAAGATCTGGGAAACAGGATCATATAGTTCTAATTCCAGTACTGTTATAAAAATGATCTCTAATTTTGCTCAAAGTCGCATTGCCTATGTACATGTATTTCCACATCCATTCAATTGGGATAATATCTACCTACATACCTTCAAGGGTTTTATGAAAATTATAAATATTTGTAAAGCACAATATTAAGTGCTGCTGAATCTTCAAAATAGATGGGATGAACAAGTCTATTTATACAGCAATGTCTTAATTGTTTTTTACCTTTTTTCTTTTTTTTTTTTTTTTTGTTTTTTAGCTTTCAGGATTTTATAGTGTAACATGGTCCTTAACAAAAACCAAAACCAAACCCAGATCCTGCTTTCTTTTCTGTTTGTCACTTTGCTTAAAGTTGCAAACTTGGATTGTTAAAATTGCAATGATATATTCTTAAGTTTTTCTTAACCTTTTAAATACTAATTTTATTGCTTGCAGAGAGATGGATGCTGCAAGGACACCTTTAAGTGAAGCAGAATTTGAAGAAATCATGAATAGAAATAGGGCGATCTCAAGCAGTGCCATTTCGAGAGCTGTATCAGATGCCAGTGCTGGTTAGTAAAACTCGATTAATGTATTTGCTATTCTATCCAACTGAAAAGAGTTTATAGTTTTCCTATTAGCAAACTTGCAGCCCTGAAGCCACATTTTCCTAATAGGAGGCTGAATTTAGGTACAACCTGTGGCTGATTTTGTGCTGTGTTCCAATTAGTTTCTGAGAATGCCTTCTGAGTACTGATCTGGACAGTATTTTAATATTTGGGTCTACAGTAATGGCTGGATGGGGGTTGAAGAGAAGATACTCCAAATGGTAATATTATTACAGATAAAAATCTTTGTTTTAATTTGCAAAATTTTCTGATTGTGATCTTGTATCCTTTTCAGGGGACTATGGAAGTGCTATAGAGACCTTGGTAACTGCAATTTCCTTAATTAAACAGTCCAAAGTATCTGCGGATGACCGCTGTAAAGTACTTATTAGCTCTCTTCAGGACTGCCTTCATGGAATTGAGTCCAAGTCTTATGGTTCTGGATCCAGGTAAAACTTTCCTCTTCCATCTGCCCTTACTTATAAAAGGGAAGGTGTAGCGCGGGACTAGTTCACCAAGAAGAAACTAAGTCATGTAAGAAGCTTAGTGATTTGCTGAGTTGCACAAGAAATGTGTGAAAGAACTAAATAGGGGTTTCCCGAATTTAGCTGCCTTTCAATTAACCCTCTTTTCAAAATTGATCTGACTAGCTTAAGTTTAACTCTTAGTTTTATTTAGTATCCTTTCCTATATGGTACTCTTGCAATATGTAGACTTCAAAATAGAATTGTCCTTAGTCAATTAAGATGTCCAGTGCATAATTTTTATTAGAATTTGCTATTGAAAATTAAGGTTGAGGATATTTGCCAGTTTTCATTTTGCTTAAAAGTAACTTTCTCCACCCTTGTCACAGTAGAAATACACTCAAGTTGGGGGAAAAAAAGTTGGGCAGAATGATTTTGCCTGTTGTCCTTTGTCATACAGTCTAAAAATCAGGAGTAGGTAGATTTGAAATTCATGGACTCTTCTGCTTAGTACAAATGAGAGATTGACATTTCTTTCAAAACTTAAATAACGGCCGTTTCCGAGTTAGGACAAACACTGAGCCTCTAGTTCATTTGTATACTGTAGCAGTAGTGTAGTTGGCCTTGAATATTAAAACCACAAAGACGGCTGGTTTTGGCACATACTTTCAGTACACAGATTAGCAGCCATGTTGTAGTGATCATTTGAGGTACGGTGCATTCCCCCACCTGATTTCAGCCATCTCATCCTCCATTCTGAGTATGTACTTTCTGACTTTTCCTTGATAGATTAGAAAGCGGATGCACCTTACTGTCTGTAACTGAGTTCTTAGCCACCACCTTTTATACCAGCGATCTTTCATATTATATACAAAAACATACCTGCATCACAGTGAACAGATATTTCTCTCATATCCTTTTTTGAGGAAATTCATACTCAGAATACAAAATTGGCATGCGGATGGCTTTATTTTGAAGAAAAATTTAATGAAGTAATTTCTTTTAGAAGACGTGAGCGATCCAGAGAGAGGGACCATAGTAGGTCACGAGAAAAAAGTAGGCGCCACAAATCACGTAGTAGAGATCGTCACGATGACTATTATCGGGAAAGAAGCCGTGAAAGAGAGAGGCATCGTGATCGCGACAGAGATCGTGACAGAGAACGAGACAGAGAGAGAGAATATCGTCATCGTTAAAGAAGGTGAGCATTTGTTTCGTGTTCTTGAACTTTACTGTTACTGACTTACTAAAAGTAACTACTCTAGGTTTGGGATTATTTACACTATTAATAGCTGCATTTAAATGGTCCTGCAGTATGTACTGAATCACTTTCTTCTTGCAGCATCTGACATGAACGTAGGTAAGTGACGACAGGTAACTGGTCTTGGGAGGGAGGGAGTATTTGTGTGATTATCTTCTGCAGTTTGCATGCTGCCTTTTTGATTTTAGGTAGTATTAATGTTTGCAGTTTTTATGAAATGCAATTAAACCAATTCTTAAAAAAGCAGTAAGCCAGACTGATAAGTCTGCTCTCTTTGTTATCTTAGAAGATTATATTAAATTTATGGTTGTATTTCTTATTTGTATTTTAAAATACTAATTTTGTATTTTAAAATCTACTTGTGTAAGGACGGCAGCACTGAGCCCTTCATATGTCATGTGTGGATTATTTCAATTTAGGGAACACATGTACATACAGTTGCTGTCCTTGCACACGTATGGCGTTGTTTTGGGTTTTGGTTTTTTTTTTTTCCAGTGAGTTTTACTCAAATTCAGGAAATATAGCCTGACTTTGCTCTTTATTTTATGAACTGTGACCTGTCAATATCTTCCGCCTTCTAGCTAAATTCAGGTGTTATCTTCAATAAGATTTATGTTCAGTTGTTCCCCACCACCCTGATTTTTCATTCCCTCCCCCCTCTGATAGTAAAGTCATTTTCTGAAGACTAGTAAACAAATGTATGACGCAAGGATTGTTTCTTTTCTGGTTGTTCACAAACTAATTTGTTCTTTTATTTCATATATCTGCAGTCTTGCATGCATCAAATGTCTAGATAGCTACAGAGTAGCATGCTAAAAAACACTTTTTTCAGTGTACTGCTGAGAGCTTTAAAATACATAGAAATGTTCATCACGTTATATAATGTGCCATTTTGAGGATTGGGAATTCAAGCTACCCATGATTCCTTATATTTGACAGTTGGGTAAAACCCTACCTGTTAGTTTCTCTGCAGTCGTCTTTTTCCCCTTTTAGAAGAATTTCACACTACATCTACATTAAAATTGAAGCTTGCAGACTCGCCTGTCTGCCCAACTTCCATTTCTTACATTTACCCTCAGATTTAGTTTCCAGATTTGCATGTGGTATTTATTCATGGAGCTGATTTACAGAAGTTAAATAGAGTAAAAACTTTTTAGAAATCATATGAAATGTGGTATACTCCTAAGTGAAAATATAATTTTGTATTAGTTAAACATCAGTTTTTCAGTCAGGCTTTTGTGTCACTGACTCCTTTTGGAGAGAACAAATTCTGATACTAAATGCTCTAGTCTATTGAGTATTCAGTGGGATGTTGTCTTTGGTTCATATACTAACAGGGACACACAAAGCAGTAATCGACCTAGAGAAGGAAAGTCAAAGGCTTAAGTAGGAAGGTGAAACGTGGCAGCTGAAATAAAGTTGGCAGTCTATATCTGTTAATGCCACTTTTTGTCATAAAAAATGTCATAAAAATGCTAGAAATATTTCTGCAATTGCATAAAAGTAGCAACTGTGGTTCTTAATTGTAAAATATCAGAACATAGAAGTACAGATTTAACAAAAGTAAATGTAGTTTCTTTTGTTGAACTGGATTTTTGCCTTTTATGATAAACGAGTATTTGTGATATTTGCAAATAGTTGTTATTAAAAGGAGGTAACCATTGAGCCAAGTGATGGATGCTTTTCCAGAGTCTTTTCCAGAGTGTTTTCCTTCTGATGGAGATGAGCAAGCCATACTAAAAATGGTTAATAACCTGGAATTTAAGATAATTTTTTTTTTTACCCTTGGCATACTTTATTAATCTAGCTTTAATTTTTGTTGTGCATGTAGATAAGGAGTTTCTGTGCCAAGTACAGGTTCCCTACCCTGTCACCCCAAGAAAATGCATCAAATAGCATTAGGTTGCATTTTATAATTTCCAAAGCACAATTTTAAAATGAGACTGTGGTTTCAGTCTCAATTCAGGTGGGATTTATATATGCAACTTCTTTTAACTTTGTTGTGTGCTGGGACTTCTCTTTTTTTTCAGAGGGGTTGCGTAGGTAAGATTCCCTTGTGCAAAAAAGAAAATAGGTCCTAAATACTTGATTTAAAGGGCAAATTTAGTATTCTGCATGTAAATGAAAGCATTTGGTATTTTTTTAAAGTTAAGTTGTAAACATTTTGTCTTGTTGCTGTCTTAATGAAGAAGGGCTTTATTGTAGTTTTGTTTTTATATATATATATACACACATACATATAAAAGAAATACAGTTATCTCCTGGTTTGTATGTTTCATTTTCACTAAGATGTATGTTGCCATACATTTTTTTGTTTCATTCTTTACATTGATTAATATTCATAAACGGATTTAACAGTCTCAGTCATTTAATAAATATCAGCAGTGCTGAAAAGTTACTCCCCATATTACTGTGTTTTGCCAGATAACATGAAGTTGCCTCTGTGCCTGCAACCTATGAATGGCACTTATACTTCTCTTTATTGTGTACCTATAGTCATAACTGTGATACTGTACTGGCATTTTTTTAAGTGTTACACATCTAGTTTAGAAGGATTTTAAAGGTCCATTGTGAACATTTTTGTATACAGTGAAATTCAGTTTGTACTGTACTACATTTATAGAGATGGGTTAAATGAGAATAACTTACCAAATGTGTTTATAATAACAACACTCTATTAAAGGTTTAGATGTACCATAGCAGGTATTTACACTTCTGTTTGTACACTTCATGATTTAAAATTAAATTCTTACAAGATTTTGTACCTTCACTTGAGTAAGGCTTCATGTACATTGATAATCCACTCTACAGAGTTACTATGAACTGAATGTTCCCTTGAAACATCTTACCTTTGCTTGTAGAAAGCCTATAGATATAAAAGAGAACAATAGATTTAAGACAAATCTAACCTGTATTAGTCAAGAAAACTGAGTCCAACAGAATGATACTTAGAAGGATTAACATCAAAATTAATGTGTACAAACAGAATAGTAATGTAACTTCATCAGCATGAGTCCTGACTTTTTTTTTTAGACAGAACTATTTTTTTTTTCTAGTTTAACTGATACTCAATGATGTATTTCTAGCTGATACATTGTCCCAATCTTAATCTGTCTGAATTTCTATAACTGCTGAATGTTAAGTTTTTCATTTTATGTTTTTGTTATTGGGTTGATTGCTTATTTCCTATTTAAACTGGATTTGGACTGAATTGCAAAGACAAAAACACTAACATTGTAACAGTTGATATGTATGTAGACTTTGTACTCCATATTTCATGTTTTTTCTCTGATTTTTCTGCTCTCAAACCACTGTAAGCAAAATAATTTAAAGTCTAATGTACTTCTGAGGCTCATATGCTTCTTCAAAAACTGCTCTCAGCTCTCTCTGAAATAGTTTCAGCTTTGGAGTGATCTAAGAACTAACATGGTTGGGATTTTTTTGGTGTCAGTAGGAGGGGAAATGTTACTGATAGTTTAAGTAATATTCGTTCTATTTTTGCTTGTATAAGTAGGAACTGTCCTGTAACAGTGTGTTAGCAACCACTTAAACATCAAGTGAAGTATGAAATTAGCCTTTTAAGAAACCTTGTAAATTAATAGGAAAATGCCTATTTTTTGTATGTTATTTTAATAATAAGCTTCTAGTTAATAATGGAATTTTAAGTGAATCATGTGGTAGCATTGTTCAAGACCTGGGTATGTGTGCCTGTCTAGGATTATTTCAGATCTTCTTAATATTAAGCTATTATGAACGTTATTTACCTAATCTCTCTTTTTTTAAAATGTGTATTTTTGAGGAAGCACATATGTGGGGCTGGCACTATTCTGTCGCATCTGGCATTCATCAGAGAAATCATGCTTTGTGCAGCTGATTCAGTATTTGAAATCCACCATAGAGTGAAAGAGGCAAGCAGTGCCACTGTTCTATGCGCTTCTTAAAGCCTATTTTATGGCTACGCTGGTGCTTTACAGAAATATATAGTTTGTTTCTTAATGTTCAGTGATTTCTCTCATTTTCTTGAGGGTGATAACATGTTTCAAAAAACAAACTAAAAATCTTATGCTATTGTTTATTTTCAAATGCATAAATGCGTAACTTAAATTTTTTCCATGAACATGTTGCTGTAATTTTGTTGCCTTCTGAGGTGTCTGTAGACACGCTTATATTTTTGTGTTCCCCACATCCTGTGCTTTTTTCTTTTGTTTGTGAAATCACTAGTTTTGACAAATTTGAGCTGTGTGAAAGTTCCCCAAGAAACTTTAAGGCTTTATAGCATTTGAAACATAAAGAAGTTACTTGAAGTCAAAATGTTGGTTTGATGCAGTGTTCTCCAAAGAATGAACAAATTCTGTTTTGGGTTTTTTTTTTTTTCTTTTGCTCATTGGGGTTTAGGAACTAAGATTTCTTTTTACAAAAAAAAAGATAATTGAGAGAGAGACCTTCATTCTTATGTTTTCCTGTGGCAGCCTGATCTTCCTTTTTGTGTCTTCCTCATATATTAATGTGAAAGATACTTGCCAATAATTCACATCTTCTTAATTTGTAAACTAAAGATTGAGTTCTGTGAACAAACCTCTCTGTTCATCTGTTATTTTTGGTGAATAGGCAGGCTGGGATAGTAGGAGAAAGACATATGATGAATGAAACTAGTTTGGGAGCGTTCTTCTTCCCGTGTAAAATTATTTATAAAATCAGAAAATTGTTCTGGTGTTGAAGATGATAATTGCTCAAGAGCGGGGGGGGGGGGGGGATATGCAACAAATGGAAGAAGGTGCGAGTGGTGGTAAAATAGTCTGTTTGTACATGTATGATGAAGAGAATCACATATGTCTATCAGCTTACACACAGAAAGACAAATATAGAGTCAAGCTTGAAATTCCTTCTTTCTCACTGTGTTATAGCTAAAGCATCACAGTATTTGGAGGTTTGTGATGTTCTGGAATGTAGGTTAAGTTAAAACAAATTTTGGCTTTCGAGCTGATACTTTCTGTGGGATTTTTGCTTTGTGTGTTTTTTTTTTTCTTTATGTATAGAATAAAATAAAGGTGAATTACATGAAGTAATTCTTAGGAGCTATTAGGATATAATGACAAATGTGTATTATGCATTTTACTGAAATGTGACCATGTTGGGAGATTGAAATTCAATCTGAAAATATCAGAAATTACTACACTACTATAAACTTGATGGGTATATGCACATACAGCTTTAAACTACTGTAGAATTTTCACACTTCTAATAACTGTTTAAAGCTTTTATATGCTTATTTGGATAATTGGAATTAAAGGAAAAAATTAGAGTTGCTACTGCAAGATGCTTTTTTTATATTTAAGAAATCTATTGGTTTTTGTTGTAAGAGTCTGTCTTTGTGAAAAACAATGCTCAAGTTGCATCTTGCATAAATACAAAAATGTTTGATCACTTAATTTCTGGGATTTGATTTGTGAAATGTTCTGGCATAAACCCCTAACTTTAAAACCACAAAATAACTATTTAACAGATAAGTCTGAAATTTGGGTTTTATTAGTAGAAATGCTGAGAAACTGATTCCTGTATGGTGTTAAATTGTACAAACCTAACACATGCTCAGGACTGATAGCTTATATGAGCTTGAGGCAGATTGAAAACAGCATTGCCAAGAAGCACTGACTAGAGATTTAATCTTTTTTTTTTTTTTGAAGTTGTTTCTTAATTTAATATTCTACTTGATTGTAGAATACTGAAAAGGGCTGAGCATGAAGGTATAATCCATACAGATTTATTTCTTCCTTTTGGAACCACAAAGGTTTCTGGTTTTGCCAAGGTATAGTGGCAGAATACTTGAAACCAAAATGTACACCACTTTGGATTTTAGTTGGTCATGTTTTTCAAGATGAAGGTTCAGTGTGGTGCTGACCATCTTAAGAGCCCTATATTGAAAAGCAGTAATCTTAAATCCAGTTTATCATGCGTTCTTTGAAGTTCCTGTAGTTCCACAAGTACCCTTACAAATCTAGTAAATTATTCCCAGGAACTGAAGCTTTCTTATGCTAGTAGTATAAATCATATATATGGTGCTTTGGATCTGTTAACTGTCGCCACAGAAGTGATAAAGATCCATAATTCTTGCCGCAGCAATTGTATGATGAGAGCAGCAAATTCTGACATGCAGTCTCACAGCTGTCATATACTTACTTTCTCCGCTAAAAAACTGAGATTCTTCCCTGTCTGTTTGTGCTAACTTAGCTTGCAACTCTGAACACATCTTGTGGCGGCAGCACTTTGTCACTTTGCTACTAATTAATTTTAAAAGTACGTAACACCTCTGGAAATTTTGGTCTCTGGGGAAGGAACTTCCCAAAAAGTAGTTACTGGTTGATACATTCATGACTTGGGAACAAAATCTGCGAATAAGAAAAGAAATTCCAGTCCCTGCTTTGGATTTGGATTAGTTTATGTGCATACTGTACTGTATAGAGCCTACTTGGTTATACGGGGTTTTTTTAAAGTTGTTATTAACAGTCAGTTTGAGGAAAGGAAGAAGAAATGTGTCAATTGTTCATGCAAAAATTGAGTACTTTGTCTTCCCAACTGCTTTGAAATTATTAAACTGGTAGAAGAATATTTGACAGCTGTGTACTGGTGCACGTTCATGAAATTGCTCCTCTAAATGTCTTGTTTTTCAAGTGAACAATTTAATGTGTTGGTTTTTTGAACAATTTGATTTAAACTATTTTGAAATTATTGAATGTTGAAATTGTGAATTATTAATGAAATGAAGATAGCTAATTGTTTTGTAATGGAATTCAACTGAAATCCAGTGTATGGAATTATACCATCCCAAGTATTTTGTGAACTCTTACAGTAATTAACTCTGAATGGTGTGGTTCCTTAATTTGCCAAAATAGATGAGAGTAGGAAGTAGGGCTTGAGGTTTTTTCTAGGGCAAGTAGGTGAGGACACCTGCAAATCTATATTGTATTATTTCAAAAGTGGGTTCTTGTGGTTAAACTGCAAGCGTGTATTTTTAGATGTGTGAAGACCATCCTGCTTGCCACTAGTCAAAATTTTGAAGTACTGGTATCAGATTCTGTGCACTTTCAAATGTTACTGAGCTGTGAGCCATCAGTGGATTATACAATCAGTGCATTACTTAAATGTCAAACCAGCTTAAAACGTCTGTAAGTGGGCAGGTAAAAATGTAAAAGTCTAGTTGTGGCAAAATTACCTTACGTGCTTGTTGGTTTACTCTTGCAGAATGCATACTTTAGGAAATGTTCTATATAAATGTTTCCATCAGTCACAGGAACAGTAGCTATTTCTTTCTTTATCATTCAATACTTCAACTGTGAAATTTATGTTCTTTCAACTTTGTTGTACAACAACATTAATTTTATTTTTAACTATTGTACTAGAAAACAATTCCGTGCACAAACAAGTAGCTACTGCTTCTGGGTATTTTGTGTTAGTTTATATTATGGTGAAGTAGATGCACGACTTGTGTATGTATAGATAAGCCAACAATTTTCTGTGTATTATGGGGATTAGCAAAATCTACATCACAAATTTTGACACATTACAGCTGAAGGAAGAGGAACAGCGTGCAAGACAAGATACAGTCTTCAAGGAACGATGCTTGTCCAGCAGTTTGCTTCATGTGATTGAACTGAGCCTGTAAGGATTCATGGATAAAATGAACAGGAATAGATCTGAATAAAGCAAATCTGCATACATGGTAACCAGTAGCTCTTTTACTTTTTTATGTTGCTTAACTGTTTTATTTGAGGGAAACCTGTGTGATTTAAACCTTATAGCTTTTGCAACTTTATTACTGGTTATATACATTTGGCAATTATAATGTGCAAGCAATTGGAAAAAGTCAAGTAAATGCTTGTTTTTATAGTAGTTTGTTCATGTTAAACTGTTCATATGATAATGTCTGTACACAGCACCTCTTTGATTACAGTAGATGTAGTGTTGTAATAAACTGTTTAATGGGGCTGATGTGTAAAGCTGTTCAAGTTATTTGATGTTTACACCTCAGGGAAAGTCTTGTGTTCAGCAATATTTAAAGATAATGTTACAATGAAAACATTGATGCTGTCTTTAAAAACATCGCAATAGTTCTTGCATATGCCTCAACCTAATCTTGCATTCAGTGAGTTAAACATACTAATGTTGCTCTCACACATTCAATTTTGATATGAAAATAGGTGGTTACGTAAAACCTTTAATGCTATTTTGCTTTCTAGCAGTGTTTACCTAGGTGGCTTGTGAATTTGCTAATTGACATATAAAACTGTAAAAACTGCAGCTCTTTATGGTCTGTTGTTTTGAGGAGAGGTGGTCCCAGGTCTGTGATTTTAGCACGCTGAAAATTTTCTCTCATACAGCCTTGATCCTGATTGACACTACAGTTAATATAAACTTAAACTGTTCGTATGAACTTAAACTGTCCCTAATAAGGGGTGGAAAGGTTAGCTTTAAAAACCAAAACAAAACCCTGCAGTTGTTTACAGTTTTATAGTAATAGTGCTTGTGTGTGTTCCCCCTCCACCTCCAAGGCCGTAGCAGTCTGTACATAGTTGTATATTAGAAATGTGCCAGAAGAAACCAGATGTTCCCATTTTTCAGACTTTATGGGTTTGGTATTTTCTTAATACTTCGGGGTTTATTTACACATGCATATAAAAGAGAAGGTACACTTGTATGTCCTTGGTCAGTGATGGGCAATATTTAAATGTCTTAGCAAAAAGTGGCGCTAATTAAATCTGTCAGATGAGGTTTTGTAAATTTACCTAAAAACAAATTATCGGAGCTCACAGTGAAAGTTGACTTCAAATTATAAGAATTCGTTTTAAATTTCATTGAGTGTGAAATGCAAGCGAATAGAAAGTTCATACAAGTTGCAAAAACTTAGTTTTTTGGCAGCCTTGCACAAAGGCTCACTTTTAGTCTATTGTAAATCATTATGTAACGGATTTATTCTTGGAGTTTTCACTTATTCAAATAGCTGCACTTAATGTTTTAAGTTAAGTTTCAAGACCTCAGATGGCTTTAAGAGGCAACTCTTAGACAACTCTCGATTTCTTTTTTTCTGCCGATTTTGAGGATTTTACAGCCGACCTAAAATGTTACCCTGTTCAGGAAAGCACTTAAATCCATCTGGTTTTCCAGAGCATTTAAAGCATGTGCTTACAATCCATAGATTTCAAGGAATGTACACATATGCTTTAAGTACCTTATTTGCATACGTGAGTGATTTTTATGCTTTACTGAGTTGGGACCAGTAGCCTGTGCCACTGCGAAAGTTTTGCTTCAGTCTGGAATGCTCTAATATTTTTGTCACCTAGCACTCGGCCAGGTTTCCTGCAGCCAGGTTGATGCTGTTGGACTTGGCTACAGCTTCAGACTCTCCCCTTTTTTTTCCTTAAATTGTGTACCTCAGTTCCTCATGCATGGGATCACTGGTGTTTATTGAACGATTTGCTACTGAGAAGACATTTGACATGTTTGTTTAATCCTGTTTGCAAATGAAAACTGCCTTTTAAAATTTTGTAAAACTGAAAGTTGTGTCAAACAAGTCATGCCTCATTTCCTGCTTTTTGTGAATAGGTGTTGGTTACAAACAGAACAGTACTGTTGTAATTTTTTTTTTTTCTTTACTTAAAAACATTGTTTACTGCTGTGTGTAATAAGTTTAAGGAAGAAATAACCTGCCTGTAGCTGTTACATGGGGAATAGCTAATTCTGGAGAGGCAGCAGGTAAGTAATGTTCCATTGCATAGATATATTAAATCTTAAAATAAAAAAGTAAATTTACAAGCATTTTATGCAGGAACTGATACTTTACTCCACATTGAAATAGATTTAAGGAGACTGTTGCTCTTTTTACACAGAGTGTAATTTCTCACTCGCACATAGATTTCCATTGCTGGCAATGGAAATAGCAGGGAGGGAGTAGCAGGGGGAAAATAACATAAGTTAAACTGAGCGATCATTGTGATTTGAGAGATGAGGTCCCCGTATGAAGCCCCTTATTTCTGCCTGTTCTCCAAATACTTAGTTTTAACTGATAGATGTACTGTGTTGCAATTTAGATAATACTCTCTTGTTACTGTGAGTTTCATTTGTTAGATTTTTTTAAATGAAACAAAAAAATGTACAGAAAAAATCCAAAGACCCTGATAGACACCAAAAAGGAATATGTCTAATGCACATCATGTATAACTGGATCTGTAGTAGAATTTTTACCAGGTTTTGGTTTATTAAACGTTACTGGCAATTTCCTGTGCACGCTCAGGAAGTAGCAGTTTGGTAATTTACTGACTGGTGATGATGCCATGATGGTTACTGCTGTGCTTTTTGATATTCATCCAATTGTATTTCATCTCCTTTTGCTGATGAAAGGACAAAATAGTCGTGAGGAAATACTTTATTTCTTTCAAATATTGATTTTATAAGTAACACTGAAAATAATATCCTAAGGCTGTGTCCTTTATCTTGAAAGGCAAAACCGACAAGTAGTGACTTAGGGGTGGCAGTGCTTTAGCAGAAGAAGTTGTTTTACTGGAGGTTTGATTTGTAAAAGTAGAGGGGTTTTTTTTTTAAAGTAAAATTTCTACTGGACTGTATGTTTTGACAGGTCAAAAATACTTCTTCAGAAGAAGAACATAGTGTTTTGGAAACTGTACAGTGTTTTTTTCCTCATTCCCTTTTTGCTTTCTGTGCCAATAATTTTAGTTCTGATTGCATTTTGAAAAACGTTTGTCAGAACTTCAAAATTTTTATTTACTGTGTGGCTTATAAGCTTGGATAGCTGTTGTTTTTGTGTTAAACAAGATATGTTATTAAATTTAGGCATTAGCTTTATTTTTTTTTTTTTTTTTTGTTAAGGAGTGCCTGTTTTCTATTTTTGTTCCTTTGAAATTGGTGAGGCTTAGTTTTTCTAACGGTATTTTTTTACCTGATTGTTTAGTTGCATACCCAAACCCTTGTAAATGTTTTCCTAGTTGTATGTGGATAATTGGAGATTTAAATGTTGTGTATATACTTGTCATCTGTGTTTCTAGTAAAAATACATGGTATTCTCTATAAAAATACTTAACTCTGGATTTCCTTTTCTTATCCACTTGCTCTCTGTGTACAGGTTAAACAGACTTTGTTCCTATTTTTATTTATAGAATTTTATACGTAGCCTCTTAAAGTTATCATTGGTTCTTGTGTAAACGGGGATACAGCCTTAAATTTCCTAACATAATGCTCATTAAGATACTGTTAGTCATGTAGATTTAAATATAAAACATGCATGTTTAAGACTGGTACTCTTCAGAGATCTGAGACGCTAAATTGCTTCTGTATTGAAATATAAACCCTTCAAGATCTCAGAGAAGGAAAGTGCAGGTCAGTGGGCATATACTTAAAGAAGATTGAATTCTTTCCAAAACAAGTATTTTGATGTAGGAAAGAAGGAACATGGATTTGTTTAGGATCTAAATTATTTTGGTAATTGACTGCATAAGTCTTAAACATAATGGTTGCAGCATGCTAATTAGTCATGATGTTTATGCAGAAATATTGTCTCTTGCAACTGTTTACTATGATGCCTTGCAATTAATATTGCAGACAGGCTTGGGGTGGGTGGGGGTGTTGAGGTGTTTTTTTGTTTTTGTTGTTGTAAAGCATCTCATTCTATTTGTATATTATGCACTTGTTAGTTCTTGAATCCTTTCTATAGCCTCAGTTATTGCAGCGGGTTTTAGGTTCTGGTATGACCTATGACTGTGCTTAAATCTTTTAAAGCTTCTTTGGAAATACACTAGTTTTATTGAAGTCTCTTGAAAATAGTAAACAGTACACCTTTGATCCCAATGAAATGGAGCATTTAAGTTGTAAAAATTCCCATCTATTCATACCATGTAATGTGATTTTACATGATTCAGTGCTAACACTTTGGAGTATATTCAAGTAATAGACTTTGGCCTCACCCTCTTGTATACTGTATTTTGTAATAGAAAATATTTTAAACTGTGCATATTATTATTACATTATGAAACAGACATTCCCTTGATCTTCAAATGTAAGCAAATGAGGAATGTGTGTGCTTTTATAAATACAAGATTGCAAATTTTGTATATTATGCACTTGTTAGTTCTTGAATCCTTTCTATAGCCTCAGTTATTGCAGCGGGTTTTAGGTTCTGGTATGACCTATGACTGTGCTTAAATCTTTTAAAGCTTCTTTGGAAATACACTAGTTTTATTGAAGTCTCTTGAAAATAGTAAACAGTACACCTTTGATCCCAATGAAATGGAGCATTTAAGTTGTAAAAATTCCCATCTATTCATACCATGTAATGTGATTTTACATGATTCAGTGCTAACACTTTGGAGTATATTCAAGTAATAGACTTTGGCCTCACCCTCTTGTATACTGTATTTTGTAATAGAAAATATTTTAAACTGTGCATATTATTATTACATTATGAAACAGACATTCCCTTGATCTTCAAATGTAAGCAAATGAGGAATGTGTGTGCTTTTATAAATACAAGTGATTGCAAATTCAGTTTCCTTACTACTGCAGGTGTCCTTTTTTAAAATAAAAAAAAAAAAAAGGAAAAAAAAAAAGCCAAGTGTTTTAAAGGTGAAATACATTCCTATTTGGTAAACCTTAACATTTTTATGACGATTACCAGCACTGCTGACTTTCTAAACAAAAGGCTGTATTGTCTTCCTGTACCATTCCATTTCCTGATTCCCATTTTGCACAAGGATGTACGAGTAAACTAGTCAAGAAATGGTTTTGAAATACAGCAGGGGGGCTTGTCGAAGTTGGAATGCAGAATTGCAATGCAAAATGTAAGGAAATGGATGTCTGTCAGAATGGCTGACTCCAAAGGATTTTATACATATATAGACAGTTTCCTGGTACTGGCAGGCCAAAGAGTCTGTTGAATACTTGAGTTTCTGAAGACGTATATTTCTCAACAAGGTAAGATGGTATCCTAGCAAATGCGGATTTTAATACATTTTCAGCTGAGGTACTTAGTTAAGTTTAGGGATTGCTTCATCTTTTTTAGATGTTATACTTGAAATATTGCGTAACTCTTAGCTTTCATGGGTTTCTTTTTTTTCAGCCTTTAGGAGACTGTTAAGCAATTTGCTGTCCAACTTTTGTGTTGGTCTTAAACTGCAATAGTAGTTTACCTTGTATTGAAGAAATAAAGACCATTTTTATATAAAAAATACTCTTGTCTGTCTTCATTTCAGCTTGTCTAGAATCTTTGCAGTGCTCATTATGTCAGAGTCTCTTAAAATATTGAAACATTAAAACTTAAAGCGTGGACATTCTAACGTAGTTACAGCTAGATTCTGTGCTATAATTATTTCTGAATCTAGAAATAGTTCTGTTCATACTAGCTCTTGTCCTTCTCATCTGGTCTTTAAAGACTTTTTGCAGAGTTTAAAATTGGTGAGAAGTGCAAACTTTTTTTTTAAGCCAACCTTTTTTTTTTGTCAGTCATTTTTCTGTAAAATGCAGTGATCCACGTGTAATGTGTCAACTGAAGAAAAAAACAAAAGCTGTCTGTGTAAAGCAATTCCGGTGTCTTAAAATTACATTTTCAGAATCAAACGTGTACTAATGTTTGGAGCTGTGGGCTTGCTGTATAGGAGGCATTAAACCAGTGATGATAAACCTTTTTATTTTAATCTGGCTTCTTGAGTTGACTAAATCTGGCAAATGTTAATCATTACAAAGCATGTATGTGTTAAACACAGCAGTGGTAAAACAGCTGTATGGCAGGTTGAACTGTTGTCAGCTCATCTCATGCAGGCAGTTGGTCTGGTACCAATGACAGTATCCATCCTGTAATGATTTAAAACTCCTTTTGGCACTGTGGTTTCATGGCCAAATGTTTTGCTCTGCTGCTAAATCAGGACATTGTATATGTAAAACACACATCTGTTTGTTATATACAAAAAGTCATTAGCATCACCATACTGTGCCATACTAACGGTGAACTTTTCATAATTCATAATATTTGAAGTTCATTTACTCTAGCATAAAATGAGCTATATCCGTTGTACCATCTTAGATTACCGGTACCATTTTGCAGTGTTGTTGGCTCCAACTTTTGTCTGTGGTGAGCCTCCAGCATTTGGCAGTGGTGAGATTATGTGAGAATGCTGATTTTCATTTGGGAAAAATATTTTTTCTAATCTTTCTAGCTTCAAAAAGAAGTCTGAAATGCAATCTGATTGGCTTGGAAAATCACAACATGATTTTATTTAAACATGATTTTTGAATGAATGAAGGTGGGCGATTGTACAGGTCTGTGTAGAGGAAACAAAACGCTCGTAAGAAAATTAACCTGAATTTCTTTGGCTAGCGCTCTAAACCTGTAATAACAAAAATAACAGTCGCTTACTCTAAAGGGCTCAAATTTTAATTGTTCAAAATAGCAAGCAACAGGATAGCAAAACTAACTTGGCCGCTGATAGTTTACTGCACTATGCCTGAATTTCACAGTTAAGCTGGGTTTTTAACTAGATGTGTGGGTTGTAGCTCGGCTTCGTTGGCAGAGTGAAGGTTTGGACAGAGGTGGAAGGAGTGTTGGGCTGTGGCTGGTGGGGTTCAGGGGAGTCCAGGCTTCCTTCTGGGTGGAGAGCAGAGGGGAAAATCATTGCTAGCTTGATTTTAAAGTGCCTTGTTGCAATTTTCCTCCAGGTTAGGGTGTTCAGCAGTTCCCATTGCTGAATGGGAGAGAATTGTAAAGCATCCTGTCCCCAGAAACATAGGATGTGTACTCTTAAGATAAAGGCAGTGAGGATTCAGTAGTACATGGATGAACTCATTGTGGAAGCATTCAAGCATAGGTCAACTAGCCAGGATGCCCGATCATCAGGGTGTGACTTGAAACGGTTTCAGAAGAACGAGGAAGGTAAGCACTCTTGAGTATGGTTTTTTGTCTTCCGCATAAGCTCTCTGGGGAAAATACCATCCCTAGAGACAAGGAAATAATTTGATAATGCTTACTAGTAAAGCTGTTTTTTGCTCGATTCTGCTTGCAAGCACCTTGCCTCCAACCTTTTTCGGTGTCCTCTCTGTAGCTGCTGCAGATTGAAAGGCCCAGAGCCTGAGGTGAGCTGGAGGGAGAGATCCTGCTGGAATCCAGGCTTCAGCAGATTATTGCCCTTGTTTGTTCTCCCCTCCAGTGCCCAGCAATGTAGAAACCAGTGCAGAAGCCTCCTCTCTGCCACCTCTTGCTGCAAGCAGACCGGCCTCACAAGAGAGAGCTAACCCTTCCCATCTACCCTATCCTCTGAGGGCTGCAAACAAACAAACAAACAAAAAAAGCCAAAAACCAAAAGGACCCCCACCAGGATAAACCTGTTTCTGAGCACAGCTGTACTGGCTGAGTAGCATCACTCTGTGGCCCTTAATATTGACTGGCAGGTTTTTGGGAGGAGACAGGTGGAAGGTATTTGTGAGGTTTAGCAGGGGAGCCTAAAATAGTCATTTGTATGAACCGTGGGTTCTTAGGCCAGCTGCAATTCAAGGGTCATTTCTGGGCTGCAGGAACTGTTTCTGTGAGGTAGCTCTGGGGTTCTTGTGCAGATGTTCTGCTGCAGGTTTTGCAGCCCAGGCAGTGGGATAGTGAAGTCCCCGGGATATCTTTATGCAGAGAGAAAGTTGTCTGCTACTGCACCCGTTCTGAGCCACTGAAGGCACTACTGAACTTTCTCCTCTTGCAAAGCCGGCATCTTGCTTCATTTCCTGCCAATAGAGGAGCCTTACTGGCTGGGGAGAGGCTTGAGGTTTTGAAATTTGTCTCTGTGGAAATGAAAGACACCTGAGCACCTGCTGGGAGGCAGACATTGAGTAAGTAGTTAGAAGTGTCCTTTTCGACCCCTGTTACGTTTGGGGAGGGGAGAGATGCTCAGAGTATTGGGGAGGTTCAGAGTATTGGTGCTGTTCTCTAGCTTTTTATTCTCCCCTGGTTCGTCCTTCAAACCTTTTCATAATATTGCAGCTGGTCCAGGGGAGATGGTACGTTGCAAGAGAGAAGAGCAGCAGAAAGCAAATCAAATCCGAAAATCAGCAAAGCAAAGTCTGTATGAAGCAGTGAAAGGTAAGTTTGTGCGGGCTGAGTAAAGGAAGATACAGGTTGTAGCACCTGTGTAGCTTATGATCACAAAGATACCTTTTTTACAAACATTATTACAGGAAAATCAGATGCAGATACCTGAATGTCTTTATTCCCAACTTATCCTGAAATGCTGGACTATAACAAACTGTGACACGCCGTGCAAGGGAACACTGATTTAATAATTTTGGGGCCAGAGCCCCTGTTTTGCATTGGGAATTACCTGAGTCCTCTTGAAGGCCTGTAGCATCACACTCTCAGAAATAACATAGTCAACTGAGAAAGATGTTTGTGAAATTAACCTCTGTGTTTTTCCAAAGATAACCACCTGGTAGCATAGCGTATTTGTTAAAGGAATGCAGTCTGCACACTTGAACACCTCCAACAGTGGGTTTGGCATATCCTCAAGTAGTTAAAGCATGACACGTCTACCTGCCTTTCTGAATGCATCTTGGTGGCTAACAACACAGATTACTGCAAGCACAGTGAAGAATTGAATTTTAAAGAGGTGATGCTCGTTGACGTTGTGTGAGAGCAGGTAAGGCCGCTGCTCCTCAGGAGACTTTGCTGTGTAAGAGATGGACAGTTAACTGGGACTGCAGGAGGAGGAAAGTGTTTCAGTCACGTTGAATTTTTCTCTATTTTACCTCTTAGAAGATCCAAAAGCAAGCGATTGCTTCTGAAAAATGAGAGTAAGTGGCTGGAGATGGGGAGATGATGAGCCTGCCCCACATCCCAGAAAAGTAACTTGTTGGGAGATGTATAGGAGAGAGCCTTTGGAGAGGCAACAGAAAGAGATGATGCAGCGGCAGCTAGGGGAGGGCAGGACGTTTATTTTCAAGGATGTTGCAAGCTGAGAGGTGCGGTGCTGTCCCTGGGCCGAGGGAGGGAGAAGGGCTGGTGCTAAATGAACAGGTGGAACTCTTGTTGGTTAAGTTTGAGCTGGAAGTGAGTCAGAGAAGAAACCCTCCCTTTTCTTTTGGTCATGTAACATAATGTATAATATTACAGAAAATGCTGAGATGCCAGTCAGCTCATGCTTTTAATGCTGAGACACAAAGTATATGGTGCTCAAAAGCTATCAAAAATTTTCTGCCTTTCTTAGTCTGCTCTTTTACTGCTCCTGGAGAGACGGTGTGAAAAACAATTGCAGACCATTTTTATTTGTAGAAATATAGGTCTCTTTGCAGGTAGAAGGTTGCTATCCCTTTTAATTATCTGAATCTGTTTATCCACCTGTTCTGAACAATTTGCAGAAAATTATGTTAGCACTCTGCTTCCCATCAGACTGCAGTAGGTGTAAGTCTTGTAAACCTGGTGCCCTTTGTGTAAGTGGGAAATTGAATTAATTTCTTCTCAAACAGCGTTTCCCAATTTTACAGAAATGACCCAGTGTAAACAGGTGTTTTAAAAATATATATATACACATTGCTGAACATTTCTTCCAAAACACTTGAATCTACTTAGCGCTGGCACTCATTGAGTAGATTTTCTCTTTTTATCCTATATATTAATGGTGAAGTTAGGCCCCTAGGTGTTCTGTCGTGCAAGGAAGGATACGTTCAAGCTGGTGCAGATGTGCACAAGTGGTGGAAAAGGGTCTCTATCTAGTATCTAGTGGCATGAGGAAACCTCTCCACTCCTCTTTGCTTAATTCATAATATTGTTATGTCTGCGACCCTTGTTTGTCTCATTACTGCGATGTCCACACATTGGTCGCTTCCCACGTATCTCCACTTCCTTATGAGTTATGAGCTTTGTCAGATGAACTAGATTTGATAATCCTTAACTGCCTTAAATTTAAGAAGATAAGATGGCAGTTGCTGCTTTCCCTTTTTCCACAAAATAAACAAGCCGTATTTTTTTTTTTGTCCTTGCCTTGACACCTCATGAAAAAGTCCTTGTTTCTTGCCTTATTTTCTACATATTATTCTGAATGCCTTCTAAGCATGCTGCTGTTAAATTCCTGCGCATGTTTTCGTATATAATACACTTGGAGTGAAAGAAATACTTTAATGCTCAGAAGCCTTTCTTTGACACTGAAAACACTGGAAGATACTGTCCACACAGGCAGAGAGAATGTTGGCTGTAGTTGAACGCATCTCCAAAGCCCCGCACAAGATGAGTGGGTTCCCCTGTGGAACAGGCAACGTTCGCCTCTGAAGGAGCAGGGAGCTCTACAGAGTTACTATTTCAGAATGGTTAAACTGATGCTTAAAACTGATTTCTAAAGCTCGCTGGTATCCCCTTTCCCTGTTTAGCCATCGACTTCTTTTTGACAGACACGCAGCTATCCTCACCACCTTTTACAATCTGCAGACTGTGCTTCACTTAAAAAATACGTGGCTCTGCCTGGATGTGTTACAGCTCTGCGCTGGTGGGAGGGGATGAAAACAGAGACCATTCATCCCAAACAGAATCCTTATTCATGGGTCAAGCTGTAAGGGACTTGGGCTCCCGCCTCAAAAAGTTAATTGGAGCCTATGCGTAATTAAAACTGCAGTTCTCACTTTCCTAAATCATTTAGCCTGGAATCTTTGCAAGATGTAGGTCCACAGACCCCATTTTCTCAAAGACCCGTAGTGTAAGGGTAACGAAAATGGTGAACGGTGTAGAATGGCCAACAGAGCCCTGCAGAAGAAACTGTTGGAAATAATGTCTAAATTGTGTAGCGAGTTCTTTTTTTAATACATAAAGTACTTTGAGTGGAAAGGGCCAAAGAAGGCCAGTGTTTTATTAGCAGCTATAAAAACAGATGAGAGTGATTAGCCTTTTTCTCTACAAGAAAAGCTGTATTTTGAGCTTCTCTGTGTAAGTATAAATTCTCCATGATTAAAGCTATCTACTGGCTGGCTTCCATCTCAGCTGGAGTCCAGGGAAATTTTCTTGGGGTTTCTTTCACAGTGGTTAACAGTATGACACTTCAGAAAAATAACTTTTTTTTTCTGTCACATGAATCCCTACTATGCCCTCCTAATTTTAAGTTATCCCCTGACTGTTCCATTCAGTTATTTATAATATTTTTAAAAAAAAGTAATTTTATGCCTTTTACTCGAATTTAGAAATAAAACTTTTAACCTCTACATTATCACCTCCTTCGGCATTTTTTTTGTTATAACTACAGCAATAACTAGCTTGGATTTTTAACTGTGAGGGGCTTGGGTGCATTACTGAAGAAGGGAAGGTTTCTAAAAATTCAAGCCTTTATTTAGAAAACTGGCAAGTTGCCAAAACAAAAAGAAGCATTACCACCAAATTAAATTAATAGTCAGTTAAAACCATTGGGGCTAGCAAGAGGGACAGCAGTATAGTGTTCATTGCTGGAGCCAGGTTTGTGCTACCTCCAGCTGCGCCTGACCCTTGGAGCAGGAGGCCTCTTCCCCCACTCAGGTTCATCCTTTCCAGGACTGAAAGAAGCTTGAGGAAAGTCTTACATGACACA